TCCGAATTTCCTGCACACCTGCGTCGGGCTGACACAGAGATACGCAACAGACACGCGACCCATAGCCAAAAAACTTTAATAGGAGGCCGTGGAACTATTCATAAAAGAGGAGACATAGCGCGTCCTTTCTGAGCTTTATTTCTTGTTAGTAGTTCAGTAACTCGTACGTGTACCTCATCTTGCCAAAGTCTTCCCCATTTGTTGTGGGGGCCTTTCTGCATCTGCGCAATTTCGGTTGTCAGATTCAGCGTAGCAAAAATAGCACCTCTTAATCATATATTGATGGTTTTCATCGCGTCTTACTATTGACAGGACCCCAGGGTACTCGCTCATACACACACACATAACTTATCATCGATACCCAACCTGCCCCAACCGCAACGGCCAGCGGCAGAGGCGAATATATTATACCTTGACAGAACCTACTGGCACTCCTGCAACATACCCATCGTCCGACATTTTCCCACGTTAAACTCATCTAAACAAAGCAGCAATGTCAAACACCAACACCACCACCCCACCAACAACAAGAACAGTACCCCAACCCACAATACCCGAAGTAACCCTCCTCCCACCCGCCGACGCCCCCATCCCATCACCCCACCTCCTCTCCCCATCCAGAGAATCAGAACGACGCCCATCAATAGACTCCGGCTACATATCCCGCGACTCCGATCCAGACTGGCACGACAACCCAATCGAAACATCCCCACTCCTGAGTCCCCGGTTCGCCCGCAAGCGGAAGAGCCGCCACGCAAAATCGTCATATCACAATATCAGCGAGGATCGGAATAGATCTATATTTAGTCGGTTCCTCAGCCTAATAACATGTGGGGGTAGCAGAAAGTGGGACGATGACAGTGCACGGGATGAAGGGCCCAAACGTGGAGGGGAAGGAGGCAAGATCCACAAAGCCTGGTCCACAATAAAAAACAAACTCCCCCAAAGCGACGTCCTCATAATCCTCTGGACCCTCTTCATAATCGAAGCCTCCCGCGGCCTCGTAATCTCCACAATGTACACCTACGTCCGCATGCTAGGCGGTACCGTCTCAACTCTCGGTATTTGCGTATCCCTTTACTCCGTCGGTCGGCTCGCTACCTCCGTTCCCTTTGGCACTTGGGCAGATAAACGCTCCTCGTCTCGGGAAGTCCTGATTTGGTCATCGATCTTAGCGGTGGTGGGCAATTCGCTGTACGCGTTCGCGCCGTGGGCGTTGAAGGGGTTTTTGCCGGGTGGTGTTGTGTTGGGAGTGTTGTGTGCGAGTCGGTTTGCAGTTGGTTGTGGGACGGGTAGTTTGAGTGTCTGTAAGGCGTATTTGGCGGCGAATTCGAAGGTGGAGGAGAGGACGAAGGTTATTGCTTGGAGTGGCATGGTGAGTTCTTGCTCTTTTGAGGTTTTAGAAGAGAGTGGAGTGATTGAGCGGGTTGGGAGGTTGGGGTGGGAGGCTGGGTTTGGAAGTTGGGTTTGGAAATTGGGTTGGGAGTTGGGTTGGGGGGGTTGGGTTGTTGGGTGTGATTGCGGGTTGGGGCTGGCGGGTTGGATTGGCGGGGTTGGATCGGCGGGTTGGGTTGGGGGGTGGGGTTGGTAGATTGGATTGGGGCGGGTCTACTGGGAAAGGACAAGATGGACGTTTGGGCTTGTGTTATCAAGACCTAATTGTACTCCGTCCCAACCACATATATACTCACAATCTAATCACACACACTCCAACCCAGGCCCAATACGCCGGCTTCTCCATAACACCCATCGTAGCAACATTCCTCATGTGGCTCGAAAACGCCTACACCCCCTCCGACCCCTCAGGAGAAGACGGCTCCCCAACCTTCCTAGCCTGCATCCTCCCCGGCGTAGCCCTAGCCATCGCCAACGCGCTTCTCGTCCCCTTCCTCTACTACTCCATGCCCGCCCGCGATCCCTGTACCATTCCCTCACCCAAATCAACACCGGAACGAACGAGTGTTGTGTCCTATGGGAGTACGACGACGTTAGTGAATGAGGATGGGGAGAGTAGTCCGGAGGCGTCTCCGTCCCCACCGCCAGTAGCGTTACCCCCACCGTCGCTTCCTACACCTGCGACGACGACGCGGACGAAAAGTCGGAAGGAGAGGGAGGAGGATTTGATTGTCCGTTGGGGATTTATATTGTTCTTTTTCCTGAACTTTGTGTTGAGGGGTATTATTGGTGTTACGGAGACTATTGCGCCGGATATGTACGAACATCTTCGGAGCGATCATGAGAATTACCTTGAAGAATCTGGACGGTTCTTCTTCTACCTCGGTCTAGCGGGTCTAGCAGTATTCCTCCTCATCGACCCCATCCAAAAACGTCTTATAAAAGGCGACTACCTCCTCTGTCTCGGCACACTCGCCGTCGCTCTCGGTACCGTGTTGAACTTCGACCCCTCACCAGCAGTAACACCCTCATCCTACCGCCGCTTCGTCGCCGGAATGGTATTCACCTGGTCTGTAGGATCACCAATCTGCCAGACGCTTACCGTCAGCATGTTTTCGACTATGCTGGGACGGAGACCGCAGGGAGGGATGATAGGGTGGATTACGACGGCGGGGAGTTTGGGGCGGATAGCGTTTCCGGCGCTTGTGGGTGTGGGGATGAGGGTTGTTAATGGGGTTGATGTGGGGATGTGTTTGGTTTGTTGTGTTGGGGTGCTTGGGTATAGGAGGTGGGTTAAACGTGTTAGGGAGAGGGAATTGGAGGAGGAACGGAGGGGGTTGTTGCATTGATTAGGTGGGGTTCAGCGGGGGAAGGGGATGTACATTTTTTTGATGATGATGATGATGGTGATGGGGAGGGTGTATTATTCGGGAGATGTTGGGGGGGAAATTGTACTTATATTTGGTATTATGGTTTCGAATGATGATGGCTATCGAATCTTGGAGATATGGTTTGGATACATGGTGTATCGGAAGGAAGTCGGTCGGTCTTTCTTGATTGGGCTTGGAATGTTGTTGGTCTGGCGAGGTCAGTGCTCCTTTTTGGCGAAGGGAAAAAGGCAACATATTGTGACGGTATGTCTGCAAAACGTTATGGAGCGGATCAATAAATCAGTCAAACCATCAGATGGGTTCTGTGACTGTGCCGTTACGAGCCGACTATCAGTGCTGCATACTTTCTTGGTGATTCCAGTGAAGAGTCTGTAATTCAGTTCCTGTTCAGAGCTGTAGATAAGTTTGGTCGGTTCGCAGGGAACAGATGATGGCGTCTTGTCAACCCATGTCGCCGGTTGTTCAAGCTTTATGGAGATACTATCTTAGGTTCAGAGCTGTCGTCCGTGTAGTTCAAAATTGGTGAGACGTTTCCTCGGCGCCCTTAGTTTACGTGTCCGTTTCGCGCTGGATGAGATGGGATGTTGTTCGTCCGCATATCGCTCAATTTCACCAGAGGTAAATAGCTCAGGGCTACGAGAATCTGAATTGGATTCTGGTCCGCCAAATGGAGCCACCGTCTGCATTTCCAACCTTTGCGCATCCTTTTTTCTCCAGAGCTTTTGACTTCTTCGCCTTTCGTCAACCGCTGGCTTTTCAGACAAAGGGTAGAAATGCTCATGCGTTTATACCGTGATATCATGATATCGACCATGGTGCTATGGGTGATACTTGCAATTGGTTTGGTCCTGAATGTTACCTGGATCATGACTCAACTGATGTGATCGCCAACGGATTAAGCTATCCCACGATCATAATTCGGGGAGTTTGGAAAGATGTTTTCTCTTTATGCTTGCGGGGACGGTTGGTGGGACAATCCTTCGTCGGATATCTCTCATTCAGTCTCTGTTAGTAAGTGGGTGTCATGTCTGACCAAGTGATATGTACATCACTTGGCAAAAGGTCCACATTGCTTCCCTACTCCCCCTATCATATCCACTCAAGGGAAACATTCGATCGACAAACTCTGGGCATTCGTCCCCCCGGAAATCGTAACCGTCTCCCCAATCGGAGACTCGTTCCGTAGTTTTTCGTCCCCCTTACATCCTTTCTCACTCCATAGAGTGATGGCGTTACCTCCAAAAACGACGATGGGCCCAATGTTTGGGATCTGGTCATCAGTGCGGAATTTCGGTGAGCTGCATACAACGGAAACTGGGCGGTGTGTCCGATTCACTCCATCCTTACCGATCCACCAGTCCCGGTCACCCCGCCACTAGTGATAGGCACGCACACAGTGGTGCCTTTGGGAATTTTGTTAACGTCGGAACTCACTCGTTGGATGAGGTCTCCTACTGCGGCAGTGGGGTTGATGGCTTCTGCTACGGTGCCTGTTGCGTCGTTCAGGTCCGTGCCGGCTTCCTGATTGGGTGGACAAAAAGGAAATGAGTGAGCGCCGCAATGTTTCCAATCTTCATACCCTCGTTTGGAGAGAATTTTCAATCAACGTACCAGACAATAGCCACTATAAGGCGTCAATTCGATTGGGATTTTTAGTGTGATAGCCAATTGGAGGACTTGGAGTGTCGGGGGAGTGCTGAAAAGGCCTGGGATGAGACCGGTTGAGACTCCGGTTGTGGGTAGGGAAGCCGCGAGTTGGGCGGTGGTGACGGTGGTGAGGAGGGCCAGGAGTTTCATGATTTTGAAGTATGCGAGTGGGTCTGCGCTAGGTGATGGCGGGAGAAATCTTGGGGGAGGGGGTGAGAGGTGGAAAGCTGTGAAACTTGAGCTTTGTGCACGGGTGATTGATGGGGAGGTGATACAAATTCGGGGACATGACTGAGGTTATACAGGCTACGACCTGTCATGCTTGCGTGCATATTCATTTTTTTTCTGCAAGACTTGCCCAAGAGGAAGTCAGAGGATGTGCTCAAAACGGTGCATGCATCCTTCAGCCACCAAGTTGAGCCAGACTTCACAAGCAGAAGGCGTCCTCTAAGTCTCGTCGTGCACCAGCACATGAGGCGCAGACGCGTTTTTGGGGCACAGTCACCGGTAGCAGTGGCATTGGGAGGTCATAAACTGCAACTGCGGATGCGTCATGATTTTCAAATCGGCCTGATAGAATGATCGGTACATTACCTTCTGCTTATAGTTGCGGGGATTCGGTCCCATTTCTAGCTGCTGATAGTAATCCCCGGTTCGAATCCGGGTCAGGCTATTTGTTTGACTTAACATACATTTTTTTGTAGGTCGACACATGCCTCAGCTGTATGTAATCATGTGCAATGGAACCGCGAGGTCCCGAGGAATGGGACGGTTTTTTAAGTGGTAGGGAGTGTACTGGAATTGTAGTTGATTTCATCTGCATATTATGACGACCTTTGCTGGTCACATCTCTGAAACAAGGTCAGCACAAAGAACTCGCTATCTTTCGATCAAAAGGGCATATCACTCCCCTCTGCCTTCACTGCCTTGCATGTTTGTTCGAGTGACACAGCTGCGGGTGTACAGCTGAAAGGATCATGCCATGAAATCACATGTGAAGTTCTTTCACATGGATGCGTATGAAACCCTGACCACGTTACTGAGCCAATAACGGCGTACTTGCATTTGCCGAAGGTTCGCCGTTTTGTTCCAGCTCTGTTGTGTGTCAGTAACTCTCATATAAGACAGCCGCCTTTGGATAACCCTACTATCAGCTGCCTTCATCCTCAACCTCCACCCCGTCCACAGAAAATCTGGTTGCTAACAAACATCAGTCATGGTCTTTGCATTCCTGAAAAGGCTCTTCCGTCGCAAAAACCGCAAAGCCCCTCGCGAAGCCAATACACCGGCAGGTAAGACGCCTCCACGTAGATGTTACACCTCCAGCGTTCATTGCTATCAAACCAGTCGTTTCATCATTCCGTTTCAGCATCCTCAACTTTATCCGACGCCATGCCTGCACCGGCGCTTCAACTATTACGCCCCGTCAACACAACTTGCAACGACATCCCCGATCCACCCGCCACCGACGACGACGAAGCCTCCCGCAATGCCTGGCACGACTGGCTCAAAACCTACATAAACTGACCGACCCAACCATCACCATCAAACACATCAAAATCGTCCGCAGACACACCTGGGCAACCTCCCACCCAGAATACACTGCCAACGCCAACTGCATCGTCCGCTACCTCTACCACGGCACACCCTCACGCAACGTCCGCTCCATCACCGAAAAGGGCTTCCGGAGCAACGAAACATACATGGCAACTCACCCATCCATTTCCGTTCCATATAGTATGAAGGAAAGTTACAAGTCTTATCACAAGCTGCGTCGGCGCACGGAAGGCGCTATGATCCTCTCTTGTGTCCTCATGGAGTTCGGTGAGGATTTATTCACCCCTGAATTTTCTGAATATGGGAGTGTGGCTGTTGTGAGGAACAAGAGGAGGATTGTTCCTGTTGCTGTTATTACGTTTGAACACCAGACCTACTAGGAGGATCGGATGGTGGGGCTGGCTGGAGGGTTTGATTTAGTAGTGTTTACGCATCGCTTTCTTTCTGCACTTGCCTTAGTTTTTCTGGTGCATAGTGGCTGTAAACTGAAGATCTTAGGGAAGCTTACAGAGATTTTGCTCATGGTGATTTGGCATATTCGAATGCATTGTACATACAAATGCCTGAACGGTATGGTGGCCGTATGATTCAGATCTCTGCCCGCCGATCAGTGTATTGAATGTGCTACCGCAACCTGCGCGCAAGACAATGCACCATGAGGCGGATGCATCCGAAATAATGACGTGGTGCATGAATTACCTTTGAGAAGAATGGGGTTGAGCACTGGGAGATCGAGACCACTAAAGGAATTGTGTGGCTTGTCCGACGTGGTTTGTTTACCGTACATCATGCCTTCTCGACTTTCGACACTTCCGTGAAGAACTTCAAAGATGGAAAGAAAACAGCAGCATATCTTGCCGATACTCAATGACATCGCCCAAAACAGCGCCCGCCATTTCTTAACGACATCCACAGCTCAAGCAACACACAATGGTATGTCATTTGCAGCTATGGAATGATTGTAGTCACATACCGGGTCACCAAGCGCTTCAAGTCTCGTCATTTCCATCCAACTCTCCCATCCAGGTTGGCAATGGCAGTAGCACCCTCCCCACATACGTGAGCGTCATCGACCTGTTCGTCATACCAGTACACATTACCATGTCATCGGAAGAGATGGCTGTCCTTCCTCGCCTTGCTCCCGGAGAAATCCAACGAGTGTGGCAAATGGATCGTGACCGCCAGGAGAATGCAGCGAGAAATCCTGTGAAGCAAGAACCCCAGTGCATCACGAGTGGGAAATATTGTTTACACTCGGCTCAACTACAGGTAGAATCCGATTCGGATAGTGAATGTAGTGAATACCGTGATACCTCGTGGATTCCTATTGTTGAGTTGACGGCGGACTTCTCATCGGATTGGTCGGATGTTTGTATGGATGAGGAGGAGCCGTGGCAGGCGTTGATGGAGGAAACGTGGGAGTTTTATAGGTTTGGAGCGCCTGATTTAGATTTGAGGGGTTTTGGATTGGAGTTTTTGATGGAATAGCTTTAGACGATGTGGTAATATACCAGCACCATTGTTCATGTCCAAATGCTCTATGGCATGTGTGCTACCTCCTCAGTTCCATTTTTCTTTTTGCAATACTTCGTATTGTTTTGACTTTCTTACGCCCTGTCAGCGGCGTCCATTGTCTGAACATAGCTGGACCTGGATTTGCAGAACCCATTGAACCTGTCTGGCCAATGATCCCGTGCAAAATGTAATGCGCCTGTTCTTCTCTATAAATGTCAAGCGAATTGGTTGCTCTCACGTCGGTCGTCTTGAATGTGGTCCTCAGGAACGCGTCTCATCTACTCTGGTACCACATAAGTCGCATAGTAATGGGCCTTTCGTTCTGGCATCCCGTCTGTTGTTGCTTATCGGGATTGACCAGTATCAATGAAGTTGACTCACTGACAGGCAGATGACATGTTGAAGTTGAGGTGACGGTAATGAAAGTCGCGGCATGTATATTTTCTGGTTTGAGCATAGCACTTTTTGTTGTGCGCCGCGATGGATAGCTTTGTTTTTTCACTGAGAGAAGAAGCTTTGTTCTAAGGCCATTCGCTGCCTTCTGCCTTGAACTGAGAAATTGCTTTATCGCGCCAGTGAGAGGCCTGGTTCTTGATACTGCACCTTTGGTACCAAGAAAGTGCATGCTGAGACTACCGTTATTGATTTCGTTCATGCAAGGGCATGGATCCAATCAATTCAATGTCCCCCTCAAAATAATAGAGCATCTTTGGCGGGTTATGCTGCGGTTATGGCGAAGTAAAGCTTTCAAACCCGACCTCGACAGCCGTCAGGTCACCGTTCTCTTTGAATTATTCGTGCAATGATCAAGATTGTTCATTACCATGCGATGTCTTGCTGAGTATTTGTTATTCTCTAAGATTTTGGCACAACAATGTTTCGCGTCCCGACTTACGACTCGTACAAAGTGCGTTGAGTACGGATCATCCATGATGCATGTCATAAGACTCGATTTCACGATAGCAGGAAACGCACAGAAATCGATCATCCCAGTCATGGTGTGACTTGACCAGAGATTTGAGTGTTTTTTTGGAACAATTTCTTGATCCCTTTTTCTTCCGCACCCGATATTTAACTTACAATTCAGTAATCCCGCCTGGGTTCGATGCGACGGTGTCAAGACGAGAACTGACCAGAAAAAAGCTCAGGCAGATGGGTGTTCTCAGTAGAAGAAGCTTTGCCGATAGAATGACATGTTGGCTGTTTGCGCTCAAAAAGATAGGGTGTTAGTCATGCCAATAAGTCAACATGGGGGTTATTTGTCGAATGCGTTATCGGCATGATGTAATGGCAGAGCTTATTACAGTTGTTGATCACTTGAATGCGCGTATCATCCAGTCGCTCACGACGATGCAGTCTCTGTGAACTCGGAGCCTTTGAAGCCTGACTACCCTTTTGTTCCCTTCCTGCATGTGCAAACCTCAACAGCAGGAGCTAAATGAATACGTACGATGAATGTTATGTTGGTTCAGTAGCGCCGAGAGCGCTATCCCTCACCGATCGATTGGGACCCTTTCAACTGTTCTTGCAACAAGCGCATCATCATCTTATATAGTTGCACATTTCTCATCTCTCTTGTGCTTGTGCTCACTGGGATCATATTGCACGGTGAACTCCAAGCGTCATCTTTTTGGGGTATCGCCGTTCATTGAAAGGTAATGGGTGGCTTAGCCAACGCGTTTGTTTAGAAACATTCCAGTTTGTTGTGCTAGAATCATCATCTTGATGGGGAAAACGTCTCGTCAACTCAAGAGCTTTCCCTTATCGGAGTGGCCGACATGAAACCCCATGCTTGTGCCATCAAGTGCTTTTCCAAATTCAAAAGTGAGTCGTTGAAACTGCGGAAGCGCAACGGGAAGACCCCAGATGTTCGGATCTTCACATGCATATCTGGTTTGTCGCTTCCTTGCTTCCAAATCAAAGATGAGCAAACGTTTCGTGTAATCTGCTCACAGCCAAAAAGAGACAAGTCTGCCTCTCAACAAGTCGTTTCTCGGCCATGCACAGGCAACGATACGAAGTTGCGGCTAGCCCTCAAAGTCCTCAAATCCCGTCACGACATTGCACATCAAATCCACCGTTTTCCAGACTGAGGGTGGAGCATCTGCGCATCGGTTGCCTTTCCGGCAAATCCATCCAAAATGATCGTGGCTACCACATTCAACGTTCCAAGGCGTGTTCGTGTGACAGAAGTTTCTTCAGCAAACCTTCCATAAAAGGCAAATTTTCCCTGGTGGAATATTCTGCTGCTACACGATCATGATTCACGCATTCAACCACAAAGAGCGGACCGTCGGTTGGTGGCGGCTGGTCCATTTGTGTGCTCTCCTTCCAGCATGAAACCCTTCATATCGTTCCTCTTTCGCCCGCCAAGTAGACCATGCTCCTCGCTTCGAAAACCCCAGTCATCTTCTGTCGGTCAGCTAAGGCAACGGGGGGATTGTGGACCGTATCGGAGGGGTAAAGCGGACTAAAATTCTGGGCGGGTTTTGGTGTGACTTTGGCAAATCCGCGAATTTCTGGCCTGGTCCACATTACCCCCTCGCACGGTCCACATTACCCCCCTTGACCTTACCGATTCCCCCAATCACAAGATTTTGT